CGAGCCCTGCTGAACCGTCCAGCAGTGATCCGGCATCCAGGGACTCCCCCGCCTTCGTCGACCTATGGTCCGGTCCGTCGCAGGATCGAAGGGAAAGATGGACCAATGGCATTGTGGCGTCCGCCAGCTCTTCGCCAATCTGATTTTTGTAGACATGATGAAAGAAATTGATCCCAACTGGTTGACACGTATCTCAACCAGAATAAACATCCTGCGTCGCCATCGATCCGGAGAAGAGCCAGTCGCTTCGAAGCCACGTGCGTCCGAAGTGCTGAGTGTTGAAGAAGTCCAGGAATTGATCAGCGCTCAGGAGAAATCATGGGAGTGTCTCATGTCCGAATATATGAGAAAGAAGATCAGTAAAGAGCTTCCCCATAGTAACAATCCTCCTGATGTTCAAACGTTGGTCCAAGAAGGTAAAAGGGTTGAATGGGCCACGATCCTGTCCAAACCAAACGCCGTCAAGATCCATTATGGAACCAAGGCCAAACGAATCAAACAAGAAGAGTGTCATCGTTTCATTGGCAGCCGGTTTGTTTTGACTCGAAAGCCGTTAGAAGAAGGTCTGAGTGTAGACCCCCTGGACAGTGACACCTTCACTGTCAAAGGCAGGTGGTGTTTGCAGGGTCATCTCGATCCCGACCTCTCACAAAAGGCTGAGCTGGGGCTTCTCAAGTCTCCTACGCTGAGTCAACTTGGACGCGTGCGCCTGACGCAGACAATCGCGTCATGTGGATGGACCCTGCAACTCGGTGGCATTAAGGAGCGGGCCCCCCCAATGATGCATGTCGGCCTCTCTATGCCAGTCAACCTCCGGGGGGCATTCCAGGTCTGCCAGAAGATGCTGTCATCGAGGTGGTGGGTAACATATACGGTCAAAACAACGCACCAGTTGCATGGTACAAAGAGTTCAGCTCCTTTGCAAAGGGTCTCAATTGGCATCAGAGTGTGCTAGATCCAAGCCTGTTTACACTTCGCGATTCGTCCAACCAGTTGATTGGAGTCATGGGGGTTCACGTGGACGACACGGCCGTTGGGGGTTTCGGAAAACTCTTCGAAGACTCCATCGCTCAACCCAAGAGTCGTTTCCCGTACCGCAAATGGCGGGTGAAGTCAGGTGAGTTTTGTGGAGCGTGGTACGCCCAGTCGACCGACGGCACCATCCGCACGGACATGGACTCTTTGCCAAGAAAATTCGCCCCGTCAATGCGCCCAGGAACAATGCGCCAGATGAACCTTTGGCTGATGGTCAAGTCAAAGTACTGCGTGCTGTGAAGGGAAGTTTGGGATGGCTGTCGTCTCAGTCACGTCCGGACCTGAGTGTCCAAACAAGTCTGTCGCAACAGGCTTTTCCCAGGCCAAAGATCGAGGACTTTCGAATGGCAAATCAAGCAATTCGAAGACCCAAACAAGACCTTGCTGTAGTCTTCAAACCGATGTAGGATTGCCCTAGTATGTCATGGTGATGCGGCGTTTGCAAATCGAGGTAATCACACACAAGCTGGGTGTATCATCGGTTTTACTGATGTATCACTCCAAGAGGGTCGGGAAACCACATGGTGCCCTGCAGCATGGAAGAGCTATCGTCTCCACCGAGCCGTAAGTAGCACCCTGTCGCCGAAAGTCAAGCTTTGGCAGGCGCAACCGGCGCAACCGAGCGGATTACGCTGATGTTGGCTGAGACTTTTGACGGGCCATTGACGATCCGCACATGCCGAGATGCGCTGAAAAAACGCCGACCGATTATCGCGACTGATTGCAAGAGCTTGTACGATCATTTGCACTCTCCTTCCTCACCTACTTCCATAGAAGATAGACGAACAAGCATCGATGTCGTAATCATCAGTGAGAGTTGCCAGGACATCTCTTCATTTGTTTGATGGGCGCCAACAAATCGCATGATAGCCGACGCCCTCCCTAAGAATGGCGGGGAACCAGTAGATTTGCTTCCTTCGGTCGTGCATGAAACGTTCAGCGTATCAAATCTCCCCCGAAGAAACAGTCCTGGAACATCAAGCTCGTGAAAAGGAATACCGGAAAAGTCTCCAGGCATCTCGTAATGTCTCAAGTCCGAGAACCAAAGGAGCAGACACGGACTTAGAAACTGTCCACGTCTCGAATTTAGGGTTTTGAGCTTTAAATTTAGTGTACTGTGAGCAGTGCAGCTGCGCTTGTGCATGATTTTCTTGTTAGTTTGTGGGGTTAGCTTAGTTTCCTGCAGCGCTGTAACCGCGTCGTGTTGACATCAATCTCAGGGAGTGGACTGTGTGAGTCGACAGTCGCTCTTTATTTTTGAACACTGCAGATTGTTCTCAAGCCCGAAGCGTGTCAGTGGTGTATTTTTCGGCAGTTTCCTCCCGACCAGATGGCCGGTCAACCCAATCATCTTTCAGCCACAGCTAAGGAGCTTGTGACTAAGGTCGAAGAAGAAGGGTCGGCTATCAGCATGAGGGTGGGTCTATGAATGACTCAGTCAAGCGTCGCTTCACCGATGGTCCAAGTGACTCATGTGCACTCACAGCGACCTATCGTGAAAGTAGGTACCAAGGATCAAAGTAAGATCGAGTATCCCAAGGGCATCACTTCCATGGAGCACTGGGGCCGAACGTTGATCACGTCAGGCAAACTGGCCAAGCGTGATATGTCGTATGAAGAACTGGCCAGCTCTCCAGATTCCGAGATGGTGAACTACAGCCGATGGCTGACGGCTCAGACAGATCGCTCCAACATGTCTGCTCCGATCAAAGACATGATCGCCTACTTGCTGGCCTTTACCGAGTTGGCAGAGACCGCACCCGATCGATTTCCAGACAGCACGGTGCCGCGCCGGTTCAAGAAGTGAGTTGTAGCTGAGGATGAATGGATGAGACGGCTGCCCAGAGAGATGCTTTCATGACCTTGAGCACGACTATAACCACCGGTGGAAGTTCGAACTTTTGAAAGCATTAGAGTTTCTACCAGTCGCTTTGTCCACCCGTGACATCAGGGACCTTCGGCCCGAGGCAGGAAAGAAGTGTCCGATCGTGGCCCCTAGGGAGGGGCGGCTACTCCGCAATATATATATATATATGTGTGTGTGTATGTGTGTGCTTGTTTCAAGCAATGGGATGCAATGCGTATAGAGATGTGTGTAGAGAGAGAGAGAGAGACTTCTGAGCACACCGTACTTCCTGTCGCACCGAGGAAAGAAAACCTTCACGTAGTGGCGCCCAAGAAACCGTCTTGTGGAAATTGTTGGAACCAAAAAACAACTTCGGCACCGGACTGGCCAACCCACTAGTTATATATAGGTTGGACAGATTTGGAGTTTCGTTCTTGGGAACCAATCACCATGTAATAAGACGCGTGGCGTTGCGCGTCACCCCGAGCCGCGCTTTCCAAACACGAGTTCGGCACCTCCGGATGGATGGCGGGCAAACAATGCTCGGCATTTGGAGCCCGCTTTCCCTTGCCTTTGCCTCGAAATCTTCTAACTCCAGCAACGAATGAATGTCCAGCAATCCAATGACTCCAAGCTCTTTAGAATCTACAGTGGAATCTTATGTCACCGTTCTTGTCTTTGCCCAGAAGCAAGCGACTACGGGTTTCACAAGCAAGAAAGTGATTGCATACTGTACTGCTTGGTTTTAGCTTCCATTCCAAAAGCTCAGTCCTAAACCTTTCCGAATGGTCTGCTCAACAGGCCCTTCCTCCTGGCGAAGAGAGCAGCACGCATTGAAATAGGGAGACCTTCCCAGTTGGACACCCTTGGAAGAAGAAAAGAGACCAGTCTAGTCTAGTCTTTGCGCCAGAAGGTCTCCCAGGCCTTCTAATACACAAGTCATGTCCAGGCCTTCTTCTCTTCCTCATCCTCATCTGCTGATCCAGATGTGGAACCCATGGATGCCATCTGGGCCATCATTGCCATCATGGGGTTCATCCCCATCATAGACATGCCAGGCATCATCCCCGACATCATGCCGGGCATCATTCCTGGCATCCCTGATGACATCCCCATCATTGGCATGCATCCGCTACAGCCACAGCCTGTGCCACAGCTACCACTGCAGTTTCCACAGCCACTGCAGTTTCCACAGCCGCTGCATCCGCAACTGCCGCAGCCAGCGCAGCCACCACAGCCGCCGCAGCCACCGCAGCCAGAGCAGCCAGAGCAGCCGCAGCCACCACAGATACTGCAACCACCACAGCTACCGCAACTGCCACAGGTGCCACATCCATTGCAACAGCTGCTGCATCCGCCGCAACTGCCACAACCACTGCAGCTGCCACATCCTCCGCAAGGGCCACAGCTACCGCATCCACAGCCACCACAACCGCACCCGCATCCGCAGCTGCCGCATCCACTGCAGTTGCCACACCCACATGGAGGAGGCATGCTCTGCAAGGGGGGTGGTGGTGGGGACATCCCCATGCCACTCTGCATCTCGGGCGCAGCAGCGAAAAGTCACGGAGTCAGTAATCAACACAGCTTAGCTACTTGGTGTTCCGAGTTCCAAAAAAGTCAAGTGAAAGCTCAGCTCGAAAGTAACCAAGTAACACCACCTCATCATGTTCTACCTGGGAGAGCCAGATCTATCTTGTTACTTGGCTGGTCCTGTACACATTCCCTGAAGGGTCCGGCGAGAGCTCCATTCCAACCCCACTCCATTCTAGTCCCTTTCTTCCTTAGCAGAAAACGGGCCTCACCCTACGATGATCTTGAAATGATGCTGCTTGCCCTGTCTTTTGCTTGATTACTTCAAGGCTGCCAGGCCATGGTCTTGAGGGATACGAGGCCATGGATGCAGCTGGGCGCAGGCTTGAGCACAGGAACGCGGGAATGATCCGTAAACCAAACCTGAAGACACACTTGGCTCTTCAAACACCAACCACTCCCAGAATGCAAGAACTCATGCATGGTAGGGTAGAGTGTATCAACGGTGGTGCGGCCCCTTTCTGTCAAAGAGCTGATAGAACTTAAAAACTGAAAAACACAAAGCTCCAATGCTCACCAGCTGCTCCTCTTGCTATCCAGAACTCTAGCCTCGGTGGATGTCGAAACAAAAACCTTGAGGGAGACGTACCTGGCACCCATGGCTTCACTGTTCGGGTTACTCGGTTACTCTGTTACTCTGTAAGACAGCAAAGTTCAATCTAAGGCACTTGTTTCTAACAGCTTCTTTGTTACTACTAGTAAGGCAACTGTTACTACTAGCGTGGCACTTGTTACTACTAGCTTCTTGTTACTA